ATATATATATATATATATATACACACACACATATGTATATATAATAACTAGAGAGAAAGAGAGATGTATTCTAAGGAATTGACTCACACAACTGTGGTGGCTGTGAAGTCCAAAGTTGTAGGGCTGGTTAGCAGACCCAATACATAGGTGAAAGCTGATGTTGCAGCCTGAGCCTGAATTCCTCCAGACAGCAGCAGGCTGGAAACTCAGGAAGGGTTTCTTTGTTGCAATCTTTAGATCCAATTGCTTCCTCTTCCAGAAGCCTCAGTCTTTGCTCTTAAGGCCTTCAGCTGATGAGATGACACCCATCCACATTGCGGAGGATAATCTGCTTTATTCAAAGTCTGCTGATTTAAATGTTACTCACATCTGAAAACTTCCCTCACAGCAATATCTAGACAGGTGTTTGATGACACATCTGAACCTAGCCAAGTTGACACCAAAAATTGGCCATCACAAAAGTGTTCTCACTTCAGAGGCCTCTGCCTTCTGGCCATTATAGTGGAGTAAAATGGACTTGTCCACCCTAAAATTTGGAAGAAGGAATTCAGGAACAACACCCTTAATTATCATGAAATATAAAGGAGCTTCGCCATGTAATGCAAAACAGGAGGAGGAAAATTTTTACAAGAAATAAAGATGGAATTAAGTTGCTAAAAAGAATGTAATTTCCCAAGTGATAGTTGTTTGGAAGGATGTTAATCCCTATTGTAGGGGGATGTGTTTAACTTAGAAGACATTAGCGGGGAAAAACAAGCCATTACTTAAAATGGACCTTCTTCTCCCAACCCACCCCCTACCACAACTGCATTATTCCCATTCGTGGGTCCCGAATTCACCCTTCCTTCCCTGTCTACCCCTGTGGAACCAGTAGCTACTGAGGCCAGGGTCCATCCTTCCCAAACAGAGCCAGTAGAAAGTAAGCCAAAGGGAACGGCTACTAACCTGCAATGGACACTGTGTGGGCCCACTCAGAACCCCAGGCTTGGCATAAAGGTTATTTTAAGCTGAAGACATTTGAGATTCAACAGATGCAGAAAGAAGACTTCTCAGAGCTTCCCTTATCTGACTAAACAGCAAAACTTCTGAGAAATGAGAACAGCCATAAATTCCCTCTTTGGGGCAAGTCTATTCCCAGGAGAAAAACCAAGAATAAATCTACCATAAATCTCCTCTCTGGGGGAGTTGTATGGCCATAAAGAAGACAGAAAGATCACTCACACCTGCATAAACAAACATTATCTTAAACTTTACCTCCTACTTGTTCTCCTAAAAACCCAATTTGTCATTCCTAAAGAAACCTATTTGTCCTTCCCATAGAAGCCTTTTCTCTCCCTTCCCTTTCCCCTAAATTAGGTGTATAAGCTCCAAATTCTAACCATCCCTTTGAGTTACACATCACTGAGTACTCATCACCGAGTGTCCATGTGTACACATGTTGTGTGCATAAATAAGCTCTTTCTTTTCCCCTGCTAATCTGTCTTTTGTCAGTTTAATTTGCACATCCCCGGGTACAGGACATAAGAGGGTACAGAAAAAGTTTTTCCTCCCGTGTAATACCAAGACTGAAACTTACCCAAAGGAAAGGAAGTGCTTAATGAACACAG